GGAGTGTGGAGGGGAGGTGGAGGACAGCATGGGGGATTGGGCAGAAGGGTTGGGTGGATGGGATGAGATCGCGGCTGGTGAGAGGTCGGGTGAGGGCTCAAGGGTGCGAGAACGACGACGTAGCTCATGGCAGCGGGGCGATGTCAAGTCAGGAGACGCCGCCCGCCCTCGCCTGCCGTGCGCCCTCCCGCACTGGCAGTACAACAGCCAGCGCTGGCCCGCACAGGGACGCCACACGCCGCCAGCTGGCGGGCCCCGCTCGAACAATACATCCCAAAGCACGTGGCGCCGCGCCGGCCGCCGGCATCAGGCGGTGCGCCCCTCACGTAAGGATACTTTGTGTCCAGCACGTTGCCGCTGCGGCTCTTCTTCGACCAAGGCAGCCGCTCGTCTGGGCAGCCGCGCGGGAAGCCGTTGTAGCCAATGGACAGGATTATATTGTCCGGGCTCACAATCACCGCCCCCACCTGCAGGGAACGCGCAAGCGATGCGCGGGCGTGTGACAGACGCGCCAGCCAATGAACACACGGCCCCGCGGCGCGCGCCCACCCAGGCGCACGGTCGGCCGCCGCCGCGGCCCAAGGGGCGGGTTCGTTGCGCGGGTTGGGGGCCGCAAGGGGCGGGCGCACCTGCTTGTTGGGGTCCTTTGACCGCTGGGCGCTGAGGAAAGCCACCGACATGAAGTAGTCATCCCACTGGAGATACCTTTGGGAGTGGGGGTTTGAGGATATCAAAGACAGATCCAAGAACATACATACACGGGTTTGAAGAACTGTAAATGAGTCCGAGGTCATGAACATGCATCGGAAGGCATCAACGGGCGCATGCAGGGGCTGTGCGGAGGTGCGCGCCTGAGTGGGCAAGAGGCGGAGGCGGTGACACCGCCAGGGCCCGGCCCTGCGCTCCGTGCGCGAGGGCCGGCTGCCTGCTGCCGTGCCCGCCGGTACCCGTGGTGAGCCCCTGCAACCTCTCACCCGCTGCGCGGCCTACAGTCGTAGGGGTCAGACCGCTTTTTGGCGTCCACTGGGGAAACCAGGTCGATCGACGTCGCAAACTCGCCCCGATTGCTGCCGCCGCCCCCGCCGCTGCAGCCGCGGTCCTGGTCGCCGCAGCACGCGTCGCCGCTGGCAGGGTGCCGCCGCCGCTGGCTGCGTGCCGGCGCGCGGGGCGGCTGGTGATGCTGCTGCTGCTGCTGATGCGGGCGACGCCGCAGGTGCTCTGCGGCTTGCCGCTGCGTGGCGTCCTCGTCGCTGCTGACCTCGTGCTGGCACGGCTCGGGCGTGGACGGCTGCCGCTCTTGCGTAGGTTTGCTGGGGTAGCTGGCGTCGGAGCTGCTGATGCCGCTGGCGTGCACGCGGCCGCCGTCACGACCCACACAAGCGGCGCCCACAAGCGCGATGGCCGCTCCTATGGCAGCACCGGCAGCAACAGCTGCGGTGGCTGCTAGGTATGCGTCTGAGCTACCCATAGGCCTTTTGAAACGATACAGATAGCGAGAGGCACCACTCGCGCGCGCAATGTGGTTCAAAATTGCTATTGCTTGTGGACCATGTGCACACTTATTTGGCGATACAGTGTCGATATCGAGGTGCCCTGTCCGCTCTGGAGAGACCAGCAGCGCCTACCAGGGCACATGTACCGCCGGTGCCTGCGCCACCCGTGCACCAGCACTGACGCTTTGAAACCTGCACGCACGAGACGGCATGCACGCATTTGCATCAAGTCCCTCAAGATCCTCAGGGTTCAACGCCGGGGTTTTGAGGGCCCGCTGGAGCATGCCGTTACTGTACTGGCAGTACCGTAGCGGGGCCCTCGGATTGTATTGCCCGGCCAACCATCCGTATGATGCGTGCTCATGCAAAGCCCATTCAACTGTAGCAGCTTGATCTGGTGTGCACAGACATGATGCCTGGGTAGTTGACAGCATTGTCACATGCGGGAAGTCGGGAGGGGTCGAATGTGGGAGGTGGACATGCTTAGAAGAGACAGCTGGGCGGAAGTGAGGCCTGTACCGCCAGCGCGCCGTGCACACCAAGCAATGGCATATATTGATAGTTATCAGGGGTCCAGTGTGCACGGGCCAGCTTCATGGAGCACTCTGCCCACCCTGCCCTGGCCCCACAATGTCACGGCATGTGGTCTCGGTTGACTTGGTCAACGTCGTAATGAGTTTTTCCAACGGGGATGAACCGCCTTAGGATCCCCCCACTCGATGTCCCCACACGTGTGGCAGAGGCCGCACGCCTCATGCATGAGTGTACCAGTGCTGCCATAATAGTCTTTGTTGGCCCTACAGTACTGCCGCCTGGCTGACGTGAACCGACTGATGCATCGCGTAGCCGATGATACGAATGAGAAATGTAGTCAACACAGAAAACGCACTGAGGCTGCCTCGCGGTCTCGATTGAGCGATCGTGACTGGGGGATGCTTGTGAGTCACTTGCGCTGCCATAGAGTGACTGCAATCGGGCACCACCACATGAATAGTTTTGGCGCAAAGTTCAGCGCATCATGTGCACGATCGATTTGCTTACCGTACCCAGAACGATGGGGCGCGCGGCTGTCTTTTTGTGATCTGCAACGCCGAGCTGGATCGCAGTCTCTTCTAGAAATTAATTCTGATGCTTTCTTTCAGAGTATTTGCTCAAGTTGCAGGATTGGGAGAGGCGTGGGGTGAGCATATCAGCGAGGAGCTGAGGGCACTGGGGGCGTGAACCAGGCAATCGAGGGTATCGACAGGTTCCAGAGCGATGCAGACGCTCAGTTTGAGTGTTTGTACTTGCCCTTGCAGATGGCCCAGGCCATGAAAGCGTCGCAACCGTGCAAAGCGGCGGTGGGCCTGCGGCGCCGCCCGCGCTGCTCGTGACTAGCGTGTCTGGCGCAGCTGCAGTCACGGTCCGATTGGAGAAGGGCACGGTGAGCCGCGATTTGGTAGGGGGCTCTCGGCAATGGCGTCGCCGTCGATGGCGCATGGTAGTGCCATGCAACCGCCGCCTGCCTGCGTTGTGGCGATGACGGCGGATGGCTGAGGCTGCTTGCCGCGGCCGCGCAGGTATGGCAAGCTGGACCGGAGCTGCTGCTGGTCAAAGCAGACGCCGCGGCTTTGCAGCTGTGGCAGCAGCGGGCGCAACAGCAGGAGCAGCAGCAGCAGCTCGCGCCGCAAGAGGTGCGCGCGTGAGGCCATGATGCAGCTTGCGCCCCGGGCAGCAGGGCCCCCACATGCCCCTGCATGACAAGAAGCTACCAACACGCCTGCACATAGCTTCCGCCTACCGTGATGCCCTGCCCTGTTGCCTGCCACGGCAGTCGTACATGAGAGCGTTCGCCACACATTGTGCTTTCGCATCACACGCTGCATTCTCAGGTGTCGCCGAGCAAGGGGTATCGGGTGTTGGCGCTTCGATACAGCTCAGGGCAGGCGGCGTGGGACTTGGCGGCCGCCTGCGAGCATGCGACGGCACAGGTGGGCGGCGGGTCAGCTGGGCTGATGCATGCAGCAGTTGTCCTACCCGGCTGGGACGCTGCTGTGCAGGGTCGAGCTCGTGCATGGGCTATGTGTTTGGCTGTGAGTTCTGAGTTGCGACATCCGTAAAACCCTGAGCGCTTCCCTGCCCTTCACCGCCCGCACACCCTGCGCCCGAGCAGTCGGCCGCCGCGGCAGCAGGCCCCAGCGGCAGCAGCGGCGGCCGGGCCGTTGGCACGGGCGACAGCAGCCGCGGGGGCGGCGGCGCCGGCGGCGCGCCGTCGTCCTCCAACGTGTTTGACGCCAAGATCGACAAGACCAGCAGCGACATGTACTTCCATTACTACGGGATGCTGCAGCACCAGCAGAACATGCTCCAGGCGAGCCGGCATGCAGCCCCAAGGGCAGCCCGGGCCGGGCTGAAGCCTGGCGCTGTGCAACGCACGCGCCGGGCATGACCGCGCCACGAGGCGCCGTGCCTCAGTCCCCTCCTGCGCCCCACGGCCCGCCTCGCTCGCAGTCAAAACAGGGAGAGGGCCCGGGGTGCGGCCCCCCCCCTGGCCCTCTCCCTGTTTCAAACCGCCTCGCGCCGCTCTCCCTAACAACCAACACTGCTCTTCCCTCTCTCACCCCCCCAGGACGCCACCCGCACCGGCACCTACCACTCAGCCATCCTGGGCAACCGCCCCGACTTTGAGGGCAAGGTGGTCATGGACGTCGGCGCGGGCTCGGGCATCCTCTCCCTGTTTGCAGCGCAGGCCGGCGCCGCCAAGGTGTACGCGGTCGAGGCGTCGGGCATGGCCAAGTTTGCGGCGCGCCTGGCGGCGGCCAACCCGCCGTTTGGCAGCAGGGTCGAGGTGCGGCGGGGAGATATCTGTACATGGGGTCTTGGCGCCTGACGCTGCAGCGCAGTGATGATGACGGCTGCGAACGATTCTGCAACGCGATGGCGGAGTCGTGGGCGCGCGGACTCAGTGCAAGCGCAGGCGACCCGGCTTTGCAGAATGGCCGCTGATATTGGGGGCGCTGTCCGCCGCGGGACGTCCGCTTACCCTCGCGCGACCACCCTCGTGCTGCGCGGCTCGAGCGCAGGTGCTCCACTCCAAAATCGAGGAGCTCTCCCTGCCTGGGGGCCAGAGGGTGGACGTTCTGGTGTCAGAGGTGGGCCCTGTTGCACGGCGGGGGCCTCAACTTGGTCGCAGCGCGAGCGGCGACCATGCGGACCGACAGCCGCGGGAGCCGCATCGCCTGCGACCAGAGTCTTTGCACCGAATGGTGGCGTGGGCTGGGCCTCCAAGCAGGGCCCTCAAGGGGGATCAACAACCAACAGGCGGCATGCAAAGGTGCTGTGCCCTGATGCGCCCCTGAACCCGCACGGTCTCGCGCCCACAACCCATGCCCGCGCCCCGCCGCCCCGCCGCCCCGCCGCCCCGCCGTCCGCAGCCCATGGGCACGCTGCTCGTGAACGAGCGCATGCTGGAGACCTACATATACGCGCGCGACAAGTTCCTCAAGCCCGGCGGCAGGATGTTCCCCCAGATCGGCCGCATCCACGCGGCGGCCTTCTCGGACCCGCTGCTGTACGGGGAGGTGGCTCAAAAGGCTGCGTTCTGGCGGCAGCCGGCGTTCTATGGTGTGAACGTCACCTGCCTCTTTGACCCGGCCGCGGAGGGGTACTTCTCGCAGGTGCGGCTGCGGGGCCGCCGGGGGCGCGGGTGCGGCGCGGGCCGGATTGGGGGGTGTGCTGGCGCCTGCTGGCTGCGGGTCGCGCGGGTGGCGGGCCCTGCTGCGACGAGCATGCGTAGCGCGCCGGCGCCCCCGAGGGTATGCTTTGCTTAGAGCTGCCCTTGCACTGCGGAACGGGCCGCCGACTGACGCCCGAGCGACACGCCGTACCACAACCTCTCGACAACCCACCAACCGATCAACCAACACTCCAACCGGACAACTGATCAACTCGCCATCCGACCCTACAACCCTCTGACCGACCGTTCCACTTCCAGGTGGTGGTGGACGCGTTCGACCCCGCGCTGCTGGCCTCAAACTGCGCCACCAAGGTGTTTGACTTCGCCACCATCAGGGAGGCGGACCTTCATGACTTCGAGCTCCCCCTGGCGCTGACCGTGCCCGCGCCCACCACAGTGCACGGCCTGGCCACGTGGTTCGACGTGCTCTTCAACGGCAGCGCGGCGCAGCGCTGGCTGTCGACGGCGCCGGGGCTGCCGACGACGCACTGGTGCGTTTGATTTGAGGGGGGGTGTGAGCGGGCGCGCTTGCAGGGGCAGCGCGGCGGCAGGGCTGTGGGCGGCGGGGTGTGTGGGCGGCCCCAAACGGCGGCCCAGCATCGCAGAGACGCTCATTCACGGCGGGAAACGGCCGGCGAGGGCCCCAGCAGCCGATCACACATGCCGACATGTTTGAATTCGACGGGATATCACCCATATCACGAGCTACTTCCTTTCCCTGCATGCACACTGACCCACCCGGGCTCAACCCCACCTCACGCGACCCGACCTACCTACCCACCCACCCACCAC